ATCAAGGTTGAATAAATGCTTTATTATTTATTATTTTTACTTATTTATTTTTTATTATTTCAGACGTAAAGACAGAGGGAGGGATTATTCCTACAGTCCTAGCCCAGAGAGGAGGAGGAGTAGTAAGAAATCTAAAAAAGACAAGAAGCACAAGAGAAGGTCTCCCTCTGTCTCTCCTCCTCCACGTAAAAGTAAATGGAATTAATGAAATAATAACTAATATTTGATTGTTACTACTAAGAATGTACATGTAGATCTACTGCATTAGTTAAGAATGGAACAAATTCAAAATTATTCTGCTACTCAAAATGAATGAATGTTTGAATCAAATGGTTTGAAAATAGAGATGACACTTTGACTTTATAGCTTTTGAATGTTCACAAAAACTAATGGATTTTGAATGCCAGTACATTTGTCATCTTCCTACTACTAGATGACTATTATATTTATTATTATTTTATTTTATTCTTTAGGAGGTGGTTCTGATAAAGGTGAAGGAGAGGAGGAGGAGATGGAGGAAGAGGAAGAGTTCTCTGATGAAAGTGCTCCTTCTGAGGAGGAGAGACAATCAAGTCCTTCAGCATCAGAATAGAACAATTCAATATTTGGTAATTGTTTATCTCTTTCTAACCAAAACAGTCAAAATGATTATTAATCTACATGCAAAACATGTTTTTCAAGTATCTGCACCTTTATTTTGACCAAAAATGGCATCAGTAGTGGAGTATAGATGATATAAATGATATATATTATCACCACTTGCTATAACAGCTGTGCATATCAGACATTATCTACTCCTACACACAACCACCTATTGCTCATCTGCTTCTCTTTGCATTGTGAAGAGCTCTCCTTTTTATTGTTTTTCAAAGGCATGATTGATTTGTGTCAGTGGAGAGCTAGAATAGGATCCTGGAACTGTACCCACCAATGGACACAACCCAGTTCTAGATCTACTGGTAACAATAATTCCTGTGGAACTAATGGAGCTGCCGGTAGTGGTAGTAATACTGCACAAGGGAAGACCCCTAGACTTGCTTTGTCTATTTTTTGTCTTCTTATCCTCCTCTTCATATCAGGAGATGTGGAACTTAATCCCGGACCCACTCTTACAGGTAAGGCAAATCTCTCACTACTATGTAGTTACAATGTATCACTGATTAGATAAGCCAACAAAAGATGAGTTGGTTGAGCTATTGAGTAGCTCAAAGTTTACTGCTGGCACTTGGGAACAGTTTGCCTGTTGTCTTCCTAACATGACACAAGATATCATTACTGGAATTAAAGAGAGAGGATCAATAGAGGACGACACCATGAGTGCTGTAGCTCAACAGTGCCTTGATAGTAATCCTGATATAACAT